TTTATTCTGAAAAAAAAATGGGTATTAATAATGGCCAATCAATGTTTCATTTAAACCAATGAATAGGTGTGATGTGGTATTGACTAGAATGTTTATTTTGTGTATTTGAAGTGGAGAGCTCTATAAATATTTATTAAGTTTACTTGTTCTGGATCTGAGTTCGAGTCCTTGATATCCTTATTAATTTTCTGTCTCATTGTGTCTAAGTCTCTATGTATCTGGGTGTGAGGATCGTTAGCTCTTGTTGTTGCATTGATCCTTTTACCACTATATCTTTGTTGCTTTAAGATCTATTTTATCCAATACGAGAATTGCAACTCCTGCTTTTTATTTATTTATTTATTTTTGCTCTCCATTTGGTTGGTAAATCTTTCTCCATCCCTTTGTTTTGAGTCTTTGCGTATCCTTGCCTGTGAAACAGGTCTGGATGTAACATGCCGTTGGATTTTGGCTGTGTCTTGTGATTGGGGGATTTAGTCGATTTAAATTTAGGGTTACTGCCATTTGATGTATTTTTAGTGGGGTTGGTGTTTCGCTTTGTTGGTCAGGCTGATCTCAAACTCCTGACCTCCTGATACACTCACCTTGGCCTCCCAAAGTGCTGGGATTACAGGTGTAAGTCACCACGCTCAGCCACCACCCTCCTTTTCTGTTCCATCTTGATTTTCATGTGCTATTGCTTTTTATCAGAGTAACGATCACAAACCGAGTTTGGCAAAGACATAACGTCACCAGACAGTATGACTTTTAACTTTGACTTCCCTGCTGTTTGTTTTAATACAGGGGTCAGTAAATTACAGCCTGCAGATTAAAGCCAGTTGACCATCTGCTTTTGTATGGCCCATGAGCTAAGAATGGTTTTTACGCATTTAAATGGCTGAAAAGAATTTGCTTTTTAAATAACATTTTGTGACACGTGAAAATTGTATGAACTTCAAATTCCAGTATCCATACTTAAGGTTTTGTTAGAAATATCCACGCTTGTTCATTTATGAGCTTCTGAGCGGTCTCTGGTTGCTCTTGGGCTGCAGTGGTGGGATTATGTAGCCACCATACACCTGAGTGGGGAACTCATGAGCCATGCTCCTCAGCACATTCCAAATCACAGTAAACTCCAAACTTGACATTATTTTAAGTGTCATACATATCTCCATCCTGTGATATTTTATTTACTTTATTACCCAATGCATACCCATTATGTGAAAACAAAACAAAAAAGGAAAGGAAATGAAAAAGAGGGCTTTTAAAATTTTTATTTTATTTTATTTTTGAGACAGAGTTTCGCTCTTGTCACCCAGGCTGGAGTACAATGGCACCATCTCGGCTCACCACAACCTCGGCCTCCTGGGTTCAGGCAATTCTCCTGCCTCAGCCTCCTGAGTAGCTGGGATTACAGGCACGTGCCACCATGCCCAGCTAATTTTTTGTATTTTTAGTAGAGATGGAGTTTCACCATGTTGATCAGGATGGTCTCGATCTCTTGACCTCGTGATCCACCTGCCTCGGCCTCCCAAAGTGCTGGGACTACAGGCATGAGCCACTGCACCCGGCTATTTTTTTATTTTTGAGATGGAGTCTTGCTCTGTTGCCCAGGCTGGTGTGCAGTGGTGCGATCTTGGCTCTCTGCAACCTTTGCCTCCCGGGTTTAAGCACTTCTCCTGCTTCAGCCTCCTGAGTAACTGGGATTACAGGCGTCTGCCATCGTGCCTGGCTAATTTTTGTATTTTTAGTAAAGATAGGGTTTCACCATGTTGGCCAGGCTGGTCTTAAGCTCCTGATCTCCAGTGATCCACCCACCTCGGCCTCCCAAAGTGCTGGGATTACAGGTGTGAGCCACTGCGCTTGGCCAAAAAGAAGACTTTGAATGTCATACTTTTAAGGCATAGCAGTGTTGATTATTCTGTGATTGAATTAGATGACAAAGAACCATGTTTATGATAGAACGACACTATAGTTGTGCTAAAAATAGAATATGCATCATCATAACCAGACTACGCACTTATCATAACCTTCCTAATTTATAGAAAGGCAGTGGTCTCAAAATTAATTTAAAATAGAATATTTTAATATAGTGGAATTTCTTCACAAAAATAAACAGGGAAAATGATGCTCCGGCTGGTTATGGTGTCTCACGCCTATAATCCCAGCACTCTGGCAGGCCGGGGTTGGTGGATTACCTAAGGTCAAGAGTTCAGGTCCAGCCTGGCCAACATGGTGAAACCTCGTTTCTACTAAAAAATACAAAAATGAGCTGGGCTTGACGGCGAGCACCTGTAATCTTAGCTGCTAGGAAGGCTGAGAAAGGAGAATTGGTTGAACCCGGGAGGTGGAGGTTGCAGGAAGCAGAGATCATAGCCTGGGCGACTAGAGAGAAACTTCCTCTCAAAAAGAAAAAAAAAAAAAAAAAAAAAAGAAAAAGAAAGAGAAAAAAGATGTTGCAAGCAAAGTGATTTTCCATGAGGCTCATTTGTTAACCAAGGAAGGAGAGCTATTTATTGATGGTAAGTTAATTATGCCATGTTTGATTAGCAGCCAAAGGAATGTGTCCAAAGAAAATAAGAACATCAGCCTTTCAGCAAGAATAGTTGCTCAAGGAGTTGGGGAATTTGGGATAAATACCAGTATCAAAAACAGAGTAAATGACTTTGCAAAGTAAATGATTTCTCTTCGTTCTTAATGAGCTGACAGATGTTACCAATGCTTTTCAGTTGTTTAAGGAGTCACTGCTGAGTTTAGAATGAGGAAAGGTTAGCCTTGATGAACAGTCTACTGAGAGCACTTCTGAATGGAATAGGGTCACAGAAGTTGGGAAAACACAAGTACAACATGAAGTGGGATCTGATAAGATGTGATCCAGCTGATGATGGTAAAATATGTGTGGAGCAGAAAAAGTCTTGGACAAATTTACAAAGCTTGTGAAAATACACAGTGTTTAAAGTCTATGGTTATTTATTTTATCATCAGCAGCAGCACTAGGCAGAAAATATTTGAATATATCATATGTTATTGAATCAGTAGTTTCAGTGTTAACTCTCATTGTTCTTGGTAGACTTAACCATTGTCACTTCTGTAAAATGTTGTCAGATATAAAAGCTGAATGTCCTGACTTGTTTTCAGTGGCTCAACAGTGGTAAAGTTCTATGGTCAGGATTACATTTTTGGCCAGGCATGGTGTCTCATGCCTGTAAGCCCAGCACTTTGGGAAGCCGAGGCAGGTGGATCACCTGAGGTCAGGAGTTCAAAACCAGTGTGGCCAACATAGTGAAATCCCCTCTCTACTAAAAATATAAAAATCAGCCGGATGTGGTGGTGCATGCCTGTAGTTTCCACGACTCAGGAGGGTAAGGCAGGAGAATGGCTTGAACCCAGGAGCTGGAGTTTGCAGTGAGCTGAGATCACACCACTGGACTCCAGCTTAGGCAACAGAGTGAAACTTTGTCTCAAAAAATATATATTTTTTTTAATGAGAAGGAGGAACTCCTTTCAATACTACATTGCTCTGGAAACTTGGTTTCAGACTTGTTAATATTTCAAAATAAACCTGAAATTTGAAGGCAAACTAGTACTTGTGTATAACATTTACATTGCTAGAAAGTCATTGTTGACAGTCATGTTATTTGGATCACAAATACGTCAAGCTACTTTATACACTTGAAGTGATGTGAAAACTTAAAGCAAGGAATTAGATCTTCATTCTTTTTTTTTTTTTTTCAGAGTCTTGCTCTGTCACCTAGGCTTTAGTGCAGTGGCATGATCCGGCTCATGGCATCCTCCACCACCCAGGTTCAGGATTTCCCTGCCTCAGCCTCTTGTGTAGCTGGGACTACAGGCGTGCACCACCATGCCCAACTAATTTTTTTGTATTTTAGTAAAGGCAGGGTTTTCACCATGTTGGCCAGGATGGTCTTGATCTCCTGACCGTGTGATCCACCTCCCTTAGCCTCCCAAAGCACTGGGATTACAGGTGTGAACCAGCACGTCCAGCCAAAGCCTTCATTCTTACACAATTTTGTAGTGGGTATAATTTCTAAACTCAAACTAGTTTTAACCTCAATGCAAGTATGGATTGAAATTTCATACTTCAAAATGCATTAATCTGTGGAATTGAGGAGCTTCTGCCTACCTTTCAACCAGAAGTGATTAATCTGCAGTGTAGCAATATGCTAAAACTATCAAGAGAAGAATCTAATAGAATTCTAAAATATCCTTTTGATGAATATTGTCCATTAAAATCATATGTTCATGGATTATGTCAGTAGTTGGTCATTCCTGTTAATGTGAAAAGACATTTGCAAAAATGAAATACTCCAAATCTAATCACAGATAAACATGAACAAATGAACTTTTTTTTTGAGATGGAGTCTCGCTCTGACAATCAGGCTGGAGTGCAGTGGTGCCATCTCGGCTCACTGCAACCTCCGCCTCCCGGGTTTAAGCAATTCTCCTGTCTCAGCCTCCAGAGTAACTGGGACTACAGGCACGTGCACCATGCCTGGCTGATTTTTGTATTTTTAGTACAAACAGGGTTTCACCATGTTGACCAGGCTGGCCTTGAACTCCTGACCTCAGGTGATCCACCCACCTCAGCCTCCCAGAGTGCTGGGATTACAGGCGTGAGTCACCATGCCTGGCCATAAATATAAGCAAGTGATCGTTTGTACTTGACTTTGGTGATAGGGATCACTAACTTTGGTTCCCAATTAAGTAAAGCATTACCTAGCCTTCAAAAAAGAATTTTATTCTTCTTCATAGTATATCTATATTAGAAAAATAAATATGTTTTAATTTCATGATTAAAAATTTGTAGAAATTTGGTTTATTTCTTGTTATATAACACCTACAAATATCCTTGATTACACCACTTGGCCTGCAGAGTCTAAACTTTTACTACCTGGTTCCTTACAGAAATTTGCCAACTGCTGTTTGAATGTAGTAAGAATATGAGAGAAATGGGCCAGATTTATTTGGCTTATGACTTTTGCAATGGAAAACTACTTTATCAGGTTAATCAGTTGACCATGACTTAGTCACTTATTGCTATAATGTTGACAAACATTCCTATCAGAGCAGGCTGACCCTGTTAGGAAAACGTGTGTTCTGAGTCAAAATTCAGTCAGAGGGTCAGCAAACAGGAAGTCTGTAGGAAAGATAGGACAATAACTGGAAAACCAGGGTCAGAGACCTCAGTGCCAGGGCCTGGCCATGGTGAACCGGAGACCCCAGCACAGATGGGAGTTTGGACTTGGGCCAGAACTTTGCTTATTGAGCTGGCGGTTGGCTTCATGAAGGGAGCTGGTAGGACATGAAAAGTTTGGGTTCAGAGTTGGAAGACAGGATCATTAGCTTGAGTGGAGGATGATAATTGGAAATTAAGTGATGTGGCTTATGACTGGAGTGAGGCACGGTGACTCACTCCAGTAATCCCAGCACTCTGGGAGGCTGAGGCAGGCGAATCACAAGGTCGGGCATTTGAGATCAGCCTGACCAGTATGCTGAAACCCCTTCTCTACTAAAAATACAAAAGTCAGCCAGGCATGGTGGCATAGGCCTGTAATCCCAGCTACGCTGGAGGCTGAGTCAGGAGAATCACTTGAACCTGGGAGGTGGAGGTTGCAGTAAGGCAAGATGGTGCCACTGCACTCCAGCCTGATTGTCAGAGTGAGACTCCATCTCAAAAAAAACGGAGTTGCTATGGGTGGAGCACCTGACCGTGGAGGAGGAACTTATGCATCTGTCGTAGCTATTGCAGCTACAGAACGATAACCTAATGAGAATTCTGCAGTCTCGGTAATTTACTTTAATAACCAGAAAATCAGAATTGCTCTCTCTTTCTCTCTGTTCCTGTTTTCTCTAAGATAACGGGAAAATGAGGACCAAATCTCAGCAAACTGGTGCCTTTCTATCATATCTCATTCAGTGTCTTTCACCTCATCATCTGTTATATGCCACTTATGTTTTGAGCATATTTGCTGGGCTCAGCCTGAGCTTGATGTCCTGGGTCAGACTTCTTTGAAGCCAGAATCTGCCATGGAAATCAGGTCCTGGGATGAGGGAAAGTGCTACCTGCCGGACAGGACTCAGAGGACAAGGAGTGCCACATGGGCGAGAACCCTGACACTGAGTAGAAGCAACAAGGCACCAATCTAAAAGTCAGGGCAGGAAGAGATCAGAGGTACTGGGCAGACATCACAGGAGACATAAATGCGGAGAAAGCAAGGTGGCAATTATTAAAAGTGGCATGGCTGGGTGGAGGCCCGGGGAAAGTAAGGAGCTGCGCAGTTGGAGACGTGGTTCTAGGGTGTGTTGGGCACATGTTTTCTTCGCCTCAGACTCAAGTCATAGCAGCCCAGGATTCTTTTCCTTATCAAGTTATTATAGGAAGGAAAAGCAATGGCAACAACATATCCACAAGCATTCACCTGTCATATGGAAAGAAAGGATGGGCCATTTGTAAGAAAATAGAAGTACGTATATGTCCTCAAAAAAATTCAATAAGTTTATCTTTCAGGGATACCTAAAGCTTCCAACCAGTTGCCCCATATTCTTTCCCAGTAAATAATGTCATGCATTGTTTAGGAGTGGGGCAAATTTTCTGGAAGGAACTCGTGAACATGTGACCAAAGCTTTAAAAAAGAGCATGTCACCCTACAGATTATATTTATCTTCATGGGCTCCGTGTGGTAGCAGTAATGCTACTATTTTTTTTTTTTAAGATGGATTCTTACTTTGTGGCCCAGGCTGGAGTGCAGTGGCGTGATCTCGGCTCACTGGAACATCCACCTCCCCGATTCAAGTGATTCTCCAGCCTCAGCCTCCCGACTACCTGTGACTACAGGTATGTGGCACCATGCCTAGCTAATTTTTGTATTTTTAGTGGAGACTGGGTTTCACCGTGTTAGCCAGGATGGTTTCAATCTCCTCACCTCGTGATCCACCCACCTTGGGCTCCCAGAGTGTTGGGATTACAGGTATGAGCAACTGCACCCACCAGTAATGCTACTGTTAAACCAAAGAAAGAAATAAGAATGCTACAGGTGTTTTCAACCCCATTTATCCTCTACGAAAAGTTTTTATCAAGGAAAATAGGCTCTATGCCCCACCCACATTCCACCTGAACAGGGGAGTATCAAAGTGATGGGGGATTTTTTACTCCTTAGTTCAGCTAAAATCCAGGTTCTTGTCACATGACCAGGAAAAATTAGGCACTCAAACACATTGAAAAGTGAGGACAGTGGAATTTATAAAGAAAGCTCTCAGCAAAAAAAAAAAAAAAAAATTGCGGGGAGGGGTGTTCTGCCAACAGACTCCCACAGATTGAATACCAGGCCACTAAATACACACATGAACACACACGTGCACGCACACACACACGCACACACACACACACGAGCTGAAGAGGCCAGGCTCCTCCCTCCTGCATAAGGCACAAATCCCAGTGGCTCCACTGCAGTCTCCCAGTGTGCAGACAGGCCCCTTGCACATTGTGGACAAGTTCAGACAAGGCCCAGGGTGGGTTCCCTCATGTTCACAAAAGCATGTGATGTAAACACTTGTGGGGTGGATCGGAGGTTCTCCAGGGATCCTCCCTCATCTGCCTCCTGCATCTCTAAAGGAAGATGCTGCTGTGAGGAATGTGTCCTTTCCAGGTCACTAAATGCACCTTGCAATAAGCCAACTGGCATTAAAAAAATTAGATTGAGTGATTGATTGATTGAGATAGAGTCTCACTCTGTTGCCCAGGCTGGAGTGTAGTGGCACGATCTCAGCTCACTGCAACCTCCACCTCCTGGGTTCAAGTGATTCCCCGCCTCATCCTCCAGAGTAGCTGGGACTACAGGCACCTGCCACAACACCCAGCTAATTTTTTGTATTTTTAGTAGAGAAGGAGTTTCACTGTGTTAGCCAGGATGGTCTCGATCTTTTGACCTCCTGATCCACCCATGTTGGCCTCCCAAAGTGCTGGGATTACAGGTGTGAGCCACCACACCTGGCCACCATATAACATTATTAATGAGATGCCCTACATATGGCTTAAAAGGGAAAAGATGTTGCATATTTCTTTTGAAGGAAACACCAACCTCATGTGTCATATCAAAGCCCCCAATTTTAAGCTAATGTCACATGGAAGATTAAAAATGTTGCTTGGTTGACTGTCACTCTGCCCTGCACTGGAATGCTCTTCAGAAGGTGTGACGTGCAGGCCAGCTTTGCTGTGCTTCATAAAAACTGCATGGACAGTTGTCTGTGGGTCTGGGCAGGTCCTCTGTGTCATATTTCAATGTGCCAGCTTGTATTTATCCTCAGATAGCACTTACCACTCTTCATTATAATTGCCTTTTTACTGGTTTGTCCTCAAAATGGACCATTGAACGTCTATTATAGTGTAGGTGACAGAGTAGGCACTTAAACACAGTTATTGACCGAGTGAGACCACTCTTCCGCATACTACTCAAAATGCATGTTCCCTTCTATTTGCCTTGAGCCAAAAACCCAGTCATTCAAGACTGAATTTTTAAAATTATGATAAAATAAGTGGTACATAAAATTTACCCCTTTTGCCATTTTAAAATGTGCAGTTCAGTGGCATTAAGCACAATTTCATTGCTCTGCCTGTCTCCAGAGCTTTCGTCTTCCCTTTAAAACATTAACTCCTTATTCTTCTTTTTTATGGCTTTCTTCACTTCTTGTAATATCTTCAAGGTTCATCCATGTGGTAGCATGTGTCAGAACTGCTTTCCTTTTTTTTTTTTTCCCCCTGAGACAAAGTATCGCTCTGTCACCCAAGCTGGAGTGCAGCGGGGTGATCTCGGCTCACTGCAACCTCCACCTCCTGAGTTCAAGCAATTCTCTGCCTCAGCCTCCTGAGTAGCTGGGATTACAGGCACCCGCTACCATGCCGGGCTCATTTTTGTATTTTTAGTAGAGATGGGATTTCATCATGTTGGCCAGGCTGGTCTTTAACTCCTGTCCTCTTGACCCACCTGCCTCAGCCTCCCAAAGTTGCTTTCCATTTTAAAGTCTGGATAATATCCCGTTGTATGAATGGAGCACATTTTGTTCATCCATAGGTAAATAGCTGGGTTGCTTCTACCTTCTGGCTATTGAGAATCATGCTGCTAAGAAACTGGGTGAACCAGTTCCTGTTTGAGTCTCTGCTGTGAATTCTTTTGGGCACCTACTTAGAAGTAGAACTGCTGGGTCATCTGGTCATTCTATGTTTAATGTTTGAGGAACCATCGTATTGTTATCCACAGTGGCTGCTCTGCTTTACGTGCCACCAGCAGTGCATGAGGGTTCCAGCTTCTCCACGTCTCAACAATATTTGATGATTTTTGGTCTTGCTTTTTGATGATAGTCATCCGAATGGGAGTGAAGTGGTATCTTGTGGGAATTCACTCAGGGTTGTGGCAAAAATATTAAGGGAAAAATAGGAGAGAAAGTTATAGAATATAGACTCAGGAGGCTGATGCAGAAGTATGGCTTGAACCCGGGAGGCAGGGTTGCAGTGAGCTGAGATTGCACCACTGACTCCAGCCTCGGTGACAGAGCGAGACTTTGTTTAAAAACAAAAACAAGATGTTGTTTTTTGATCCAATCAAAAAATCTGTCTCTCATAATAGTCGCTTTGCATTTATTAATATGAAAGTGATGTTTGGTCTTGGTTGTATCATATTATTTAATGTTTTGCATTCTGTTTTTATGTTTAAAATTCTTAAGATGATTGGGCAGTTTTATACAAAACTAACCATATTCTTACCATATGATCCAGCAATTGTGCTCCTTGATATTTACACAAAGGAAATGAAAGCTGGTATCCACACAAACACTGCATACAGATGTTTATGGCAGCAGTATTCATGATTGTCAAAGCCTGGAATCATTCAAGATGTCCATCGATAAATCAGTGGATATATATGTCTACACTGTATTAGCATTAAAAGAAATATGAAGTATGAAGCCACGAAAAGACATGGAGGAGGAAACTTAATTGCAGGTTACTAAGTAAAAGAAGCCAATTGGAAAAGACTACGTCCTGTATAGTTTCAACTATGTGACATTCTGGAAAAGGCAAAGCTAAGGAGACAGGGAAAAAAACAGTGGTTGCCAGAGCTTAGTGGGAAGGGAGGGATGAACAGGCAGAACCCAGAGGATTTTGGGGGGCAATGAAACGGCTTTGTATGATACTATAATGATGGATACACATCATCATACATCTGTTCAAACCCACAGAATGTACATTTCCAAGAGTGAACCCAAATGTAAACTATGGGTCTGGGCAATAGTGACGTTCCAGTGTAGCTTCATCAATTGTAACAAACATAGCACTCTGCGTAGGGATTCTGAAGGGAGAGGCTGTGAGCATGTAGAGGCAGGTATGTGGGAACTCTCTATGTTCCATTCAGTTTTGCTGTGGACCTAAAATTGTTCTAAAAAATAAAGTATGTTGGCCGGGCATGGTGGCTCATGCCTGTTAATCCCACCACTTCTGGAGGCTGAGGTGGGCAGATCACCTGAGTTCAAGACCAGCCTGGCCAACATGGTGAAACCCCGTCTCTACTTAAAGTACAAAAATTAGCTGGGTGTGGTGGCATGCACTTCTAATCCCAGGTACTCAGGAGGCTGGGGCAGGAGAATCACCTGAACCTGGGAGGCAGAGGTTGCAGTGAGCCAAGATCCTGCTACTGTACTCCAGCCTGAGCAATAAGAGTGTGACTCCATCTCAAACAAACAAACAAACAAACAAATAAGTATATTAAAAATGTATTAACTGTGAACTCTTTGCTTCTTTGCTTATTTTTTTTGGTAATTAGTAAAGTTGTTGTTTTTATTTCAAGGTTACTTCTATATAATCATATAATTACCTCAGAATTCTATTTCCTTGAAGAATATTAGTTTCTTTCTAAGAGCAATCATAAAATTAGCTTGTTTTCTTTTTCTCCCCATTTCCATTCCTCAACCACCTATTTTGCATTTATTAATATTATTATTCATTGTATTGTATTGTATTGATACTATAATGGATGTTTATACTTATAATTACTTTATTAGCTCTAAGCTGTATTTTGGAACTCCTGGCTATTTTGGATTAAGTATTCAATGAATTTACCCTAATTTCCATGCTTTCTTCTCACTTTCCTGTCACATTTCTACTAACTGAACCTTTTCTGCACGTCAGGGAATACAGCATGCAGAGTAGAGCCTACTTCTTTAAACTTCGTGTTTCAGTTCTATATGTAGTCAGCCATTCTTTTTCTGTTATTTCCCTAACTTGGTTGGCTGAGATTCATCCTTTATTAATTTCCTCAGGGAGGCTCATGGGAACAATGTTCCCTGAGTTCTTGTATGTTTAGTATTGTTTTTCATTTTTATACTTGAAAGATGAATTCTGGTGGTCACAGAGACAAACGTGACTCATGCGTGTTATCCCTGCCCTTGGTTTCGCTGAACCACACAGGACACCCCGCCTCTGCCATTCCCACACCCACCGTCGCAAATAGAGGATAAGTTGCTGCAAGTAAAGGAAATAACTGTTGGCTTTTGTTTTTCCCTTATCCCCAAGGAGCAGGTTTTTGCTGGTGTTTTACAAGAACAACTTCCACTGTGTTTTCTTCTCTTCAGTTCCTCTTGAGTGGCTTTTGCCCCATTTCAGTGGCTTTTGGCAGCTTCTACAGATAATTTGTAGTCTGTGGGTTAGATCTGCCTCCTGGTTTCACTGAAAAGATGGGGTTTATAAAAGTGTCTTTGGTTCTCCTTGCTGGTTCTTTATGATTTCCAGGAGAAGGGGAATATACGGACTCACAAAGCTTTGTTTGCAATGACATTTTACAAGCTCTT